GCTCGCCCCTAGCAACCGCCAAGCTTCCCGCGGATTGGATCCGCGGCGTTCTTCGGGTCGCCGCCTCGGAAGGGGGAGCTTGGGCGTAGAGGCCGGATTTCTGAGAAAGATGAATTAAAAGGGGCGGGGCTCCCGGCCATCAATGGCATGTGACCCCGCCTTTGCCGCTTTCGTCCACCTCCATTGGCCGAGCGGGAGTACAGTACCGCGAGGGGAGCGTGCCACCTAGTGGCCGCGAGCAGGGTCACGCGCTGAAATGGGACGACTTCGTACTCGCCCGTTTCCGTTCACACGGGGGTGAAAAGGAAGGGGAGGGGGCGGACAGCGGGGCATCGGTAAGCCAGGTTCGCGCATTACTCCGGAGTAAGAAAAAAGGCGTGGCAAGTCCCCGGATCTGCACTGCCTTCACCAACCAGGTGCCCTCCAGATGTCTCTGGACCTCTGAGTTCTCCTCCCAACACATCTGGAAAGCATCAGATGGTTGGGGGAGGCTGAGCCGAATTAAGGAGTGTAGATGGATTATGAAAGCGATCGCCCAGATCAGTTTTAAGCGGTCTCAGTTTGGAGTTTCAACGCATCCCCTGATGCCGTGAGATGTCACGGGGCTGAGTGGGTAGGAGGTGCTGCGTGTATTTCTTTTGGGTGGGCTACGGTGGAAGTTCCCTGTGAACCTTTCTTAGAAAGCTGGTTTCTCTCAGGCTGCTTTATTTCTGGCGCTGGGAACTAGGTGAAGAAGGAGAAAAACCAAGACCCCCCCTCCAGTTTTATAAGCTTCTTGCCTAGGGAAGAGGACAGGGAGTTGGGTCCCCTGCCCTGACTTTTTCCAGGCTGAACAGCTTCTGCTCCTGGCTTTGCGGGGTGGAGTGCTGGGGTTTGCAAAGGAAACCTTCGTCAAGCACGCCCAGCCTAGCCCGGCTCCAAGCCAGCGACCGGCCGCAGGACAGAGCTCCAGACTTGCGTGCCCCTCTCTCGGCTCCCAGGAGGAAGTGCCGAGCCATCGGCATGACAGATCCTGAGACAGGTGGGGAGAGAAGCGAGGCTGCGCTGCACCTTCCCAGACACGAGGAAGCACCTGACGGACACTTCCGCCACCCTCCCATCTCAGCCCGGCCTAGAGAACAGGCCTTGCCTATCCGTGCAAACGGAGAGGCCGTGGCGACGTTCCCTGGCAGCCCCAGCCCAGAATTCAGGGGACAGTTTCCAAGCACACCCCTGCTCTCCCGCTGCCTTCTCCAAGTGTCGTGGCTTTCATAACAGCTTTTCCAATGTCCGTGGAAACCCTCCATTTTTAAATCTGGAGGAAAAACGCTGAAAACTTTCGCGACCGTTGACGCCATAGGGTCGCTTGTCCTGAAATACCCTGTTGCAAGGAATTAGAGATGTACGTGAAACGTGTCTGCTAATCCTCCTGTTTGCTCAGGGACAGTGAGCAAAGATGTATGCTCCGTGATCAAACAGGCTTAGCAACAGTGCAGCCTTTTTTTTTTCCTCCCCCTCCCTGTCAGTTTTCTCCTGATTTCTTCATTTAGCATTTTTGCAATTTTTGCTGCATTATACATGGAAAACTCGGTGCAGAAGGGATGCTCCAGAAGTGATAATGGCAGTGATGGTTAGATATTCTGTTCAAAAAGATATTCAGCTAGGCCAATACAGGAAAGAGATACAATGTGCCTCTGTGGTCCCCTCTCCACTGCTCTGAGTCAGACAAATGCACTCAGCACGTGCTCAGAGACCAAGATATCTACCAATTGCACTGATGATGGGGTAAGCTTTGGCATTAAAAACCAAAGTGTGATTGTAAAGTCTGCCCAGAAGTCCCAGATTCTGCCTGTGAAAAATACTGCTCTTTGGAATGGACTTCTTTTTATCTTTTCCAACAATTATACAGAGATGCTGCCTGATAGAATAAGCTAAGAGTCTTTGAAGGAATGTACAGTAGGAGGATAAGATCAGAAGGGAAGGGAAGTAGAGGCAGAACTGGGATATTTCGGGGCATGAGATGAAGGATGAAACAGTGTCTTCTCATTCCATGGACCAGTAATCCGTTTTGCTGGACCTCCAAGGTCATATCTGCCCCACATCGGGAAATCAGGTTACGGTTGGAGGCGCAGAACATAAGCAGCACCATGATTTTCCCTTCCCTTCCCACCATCTCTTTTTGCCTAGTAGCTGGGCCAGCTCTGGTGAGGAGTCATATGGGTGGGTTAAGGGGGGAGAAAATAAAAACCACTGAAAAGGACCATGGTTCCATTTTTGGGAGGGAACAGAAGACTGGGGAGACCTCCAGGGAATCTGGAAGGAAGTGGGGCCCTCTAATTTGGTAGTAAGAGAAAAGCATCTGATGAAACATGGCCACATTTGGTTCCCAACCCTGTTTGTGGCTTTCCAGCACCTGGCAGGATTGCACCATGGCCATTTAGTGGAAACATGGCAATTTGGGGTGTGATCAAAATAAAATAAATTAAACACATCCTTTTGTACTTCCCCAACCCCAAAAGCTTGCAGGTGGAGATGGTTCTGGCATTTTATTCCTGCATACGCCGGTGATGGTATCTCATCTTACATTTTTATGCTCTTCCAGGCCTGGGAAGCCTTCGAAGAGAGAGCAAGAAAATATGGAAAAAGGAAGTCACAGCAGTGCCAGTATTGGCTGGTGCACTGGGTGCTGTACCAAAACTTATTTATTTTTATTTATTTATTAAACATGTATGGCCGCCCATCTCAAATGCATGTCTCTAGGCGGCTGACAGTTAAAAACAAACTAAAAACAGCAGGCTAAAACCATAGAAATACCTGAAACAACACTTGGACACAACTGGAATGGACAGAATCTCAACTCGTCAATGAAAAAAAAAGTTGCAGATTCTTGGAGCAGTGTGTATAGTACAACAATATCTTTAACTTGGGAAGGATCTGATAGTCAAAAGTCATAAGTATCTGGTAGACTATGTGCAACTAGCTATTATTATTATTGGTCACACAGTCAGCCAGTTGTTTAGACTGGATTTGGCATTTTTATCCACCTATCGAGTCCTTCCCAAGGACCTGGGATAGGCAGATGTGGTTGTGTGATAGTGTTAAACGTGTCTCAGGATGGAAGCTGTTCCAAGTAAAGCTGCCTTTTGCAATGGACTGATGGTGATTTTGTCAATGCCGATGGTCTTCAAGT